GTTTGCGAAGTGGACTTATATAAGTCCCGTTTGATGGGGGAATAATGGCAGCTGATTCTGTACTCTGAGGGGGGTCAGGGATTTCTGGACCAAACTGAAGAATAGTTTTGGGTTTCTTCGTTTCTTTGGGAATTACTTTTCGAGGCGTCGAGACAACTTTCTCGTTTTTCGACAATTCCATAAAATCGTAGAGATAAGTCTGAAACAAAAACACTTTTAGAAAAATATTTTTGAAGGCGACGAGACAACAAACAAATAACGTTTTGGACAGCGTTTAGGTCAATGTTCATTGCATATTTTAAGTATTTGCCGCTATTCCTCTTAGCAAAAGCTTTGTAGAATTTGTGAGCACGTCTTGTTAAGCTATCCTCTTTATATAACGTTCGGTTTTAGATTTTTTGGAGAGAAAAGACCTTTAAATTTTGAAAGCGACGAGACAACAAACAAATAACGTTTTGGACAGCGTTCAGGCCAATGTTCATCGCATATTTTAAGTATTTTACCGATATTCCTGCTTGTTAAGCTATCCCTTTTTATATAGCAAACAAAACAAATTTGTTTGTTTTGCCCAGTTAGCAATCTGAATGAGTGTTTACTGCCGGAACAGGGCACACTTAAGTGCAATTCAAACCAGGCGCGCATCTAGGAATTTCTCGAGGGGGGGGGCGGATTTTCAAAAAAGTTTTGAAAATATGGTCGACCTTTTTTAGGTCAACCAAATTGATTTTCTGAGCTCTCTCAAACAACTATAAAGACCCTCATCAGACGAAATTTTCTGCGCCGCGTTTTTAGGCACTTTAAGGGCATTTTTTTAAGGCGTTTTCAGGCACTTTTTGAGAAATGTCCAAAAAATCGCGTTTTTTCGGCGCGCGCTCCCCCCTCATAAGTAGTATAGATTGACGCCAAAGGCGCCTTTGGAAAAATTTTAAGGTCAATCAGGCAAAAATGGATATCTCAAAATAGTACAACGGGGGAACCCTTTGGGTCGGCAGAGGGTCGAATCCGTGAGGGGGCGGGGCGTCCGCCACCCCCCTAAATCCGCTACCGATTCAAACGTACAAAAGAAATTAAAAACCGCTCCATCTAAGCCACGTCAATCTCATTAAGCCCAGCCTAGACTACCAGGTTTTTGGCCTATATTCAAACTCGAAATTGAAAAAAGTCGCATCTACTTATAACTTACTTTAAAAAACTGCCCAAAATGCCTTCGATTGATTTAAGTAGTTTAGCAACCAATTCGCATATTTTGACAAGTTACTTGCCATAAACATTTTCCATGAATAGTTCATATAGCAATGATCTTACTTCTAGTTCGGCTATTCGTTTGCTGAGGATGCGATTCTGGTGGTCTTTATCTTTCAGCTCACTCTTGGTCGAATCCAAGTCACGCTCTTTGCTGTTAAAACAGTTTAACAAAATTATGAAGAAGCTTCATAGTCCAAAACATTGAGTTCGTTTATTTGCGTTTCATCCACCATAAAATCATGCTAAATACAACAAAAACTTGACTATAAATCTAGAAATCCCATGCATATCAAATTCTAAACAATGGTTGTAAGACTATTTTTTTGAAGTGGAAAATGTGAATACTATTAAAATAAAGTTTATAATAAAATGGCAAATATTTTCGGGAGACAAAATTAATCAAAACAACCAGCTGACCTATTTTAGCAGCTGTTGAGCAAATGTTCACTTATTAGGTAGATTTTAAGTTTCAAGTTGATCTGACTGTCATCATGCAAACATTGCCAAATGTTCTTGGGAATGACATTTCTCTCTCCGAACTTTTTGCAAATTTCTATTTGCTTACGCTTTGAGTGCCTGTTTCATGCGTGAGCTAGAGGAAGTGATGGACTTCAGTTCCTGCTGCAGGTGCTCATTGGCCTGTTTGATCTCACTCTGGATCCGTCTCTGGTGCTCCTCCAGCATCTCTTTGGCTCTTTTCGACTCTTCCAGCTCGTGCTTCACTTTCTACAGACACTCTCTTTATTATTAATTACAGCAAGTCTTTCCACAAATGTTTGGTAGATTTTATCACTGAGGTCGGCCGACTTCAATTCTGTCGCCTTTTTTCCAAATTTTTTTCTGTTGTTAATGTTTGTTGTTTTCTTAACGATTGGACTCCAACGAGAAACTTTTGAAAAACTTAAATCACTTTCTTAAACCCTCCTTATTATAATTAGAAAAATTAAATAAGAAAATTTGTGAAATTTTTTGAAATTAAAAAAAATCAGTTTTCGGCTTTTTTGTTCGTAGATTTTTTTCGGTTAACAACTTTTCTTACAAGAAATTGAACTTGCTTCATTTTGAATCTTAATAAACCTCCAGTTTCCTTTCCAATTGGTTTAGAAGAGAAGCGGTTGCGTCTGGAATTTGAGTCCCGGTAAGGCCTGTTTTTTTTTCATTAAAATTTTTTCCGTATAATTTGAATGGCCGGAATTTCGTTTGTCTGCTCGTTTTTTTTCGGCTTAGGTACCACATCACGGGTTTTTCTTAAGCTTTAAGCAATTAACATGGTAGTTGCAAGTGTTTTTCATCAAAGTACTTGAAGTATTTTAAAGTTTTGTTTTAAAATTATATTTTTGTGGGCTCAACTGGTGTCTGCTCAAAAAGTAACAGCTTCTTTTTCGGCTTCGTTAGTTCTGATCCTTTGGTTTTTTCAATTCAAAAACTTAAGTTGCTCTCAAAAACTACTTTACCGATTTTTAAAAAAAAAGGGTACCACTAGAAAGACCGCCTGCTCACCTGTCTGAATGCATAATCACACAATCTCCTTGTGCTTTACGCACTGCACTCGGAACTCTTAGACTGTTATCGAGACAACCCCCTGCCCCAAAGCAAGTTTGAGAGTTCAATGATGATAACGGATGATGAAATCTCCCCTGCATTATCAGTCACTCCCCAAAAATTTTTACAAAAAATATATTGCCCTCGGAAAATTACACATTCTCAGAAACGACCCCGTCAAATCTGCGTTTGTTAGTTCAATTGAAAAAAAAAACAGTTTGTGTAAATCTCTGCAAAAAAAGATGCTACCCTTAAACTTTTTTATGCAAAAAACTCGGAATAATCAAATTTTTGATTTGCTGACCGTATATCGGAAACTTTTTTACGCATCTGAAAAATAATCCAACCAAATCGAATATCACGGTTTTATTTACAATAACAGGTAATTGGAAGCCTACCTGTATAATTGGCTGAGTTCAATTTGATTGGAAAAAAATTATGGCCCTGAAAGAAGTCAAAAGTTTCAACTTTGACCGTTTTTTGAAAACTTTTCGACTTTTCTCAAAAAGTTAACTGTTAATTCTTAGCTTAAGTGTTCAACCCAAGAACTGGTTTTGGGAATCGCAGCCGCAATCTACGTTTTGAGCAGCCACAGTCTACCTTTTGAAATTCAAGTTTGGAAAACTAAGTTTTCGATTTTTTGATAGTGTTTTAGAAAATGTTCGGCTTTTCCTAAAAAGTACACTGCCAACAAAGAAGACTTCAACAGGAGAAAACAATTGCTAGAACATTTTCTGCAGAAATGGTGAATCCTTAATTCTTATTAGAAAAAAACTTTAAGTCATGGGAAATTTCAATTTCTCGAAAACTTCCGTTTTCATTTATTTTAATAGAGAAACAACTAAGATTTCGGGCCAATTCCACTTAATGAAACTAACTATTTCATCCCGCATCAGTATGACGAATTCAAGTATCAAACAGAAACCTCTAGCTTTAGCTGGACCCTTGTTATCATTAATCGAGACACACAAAAGTTTGGGGTTCTGCTAGTTTTTTTATTCAAATGGCATAGAGGTTAAAAAGCTTGAAACATGTTTTTTTTGCCTTTCGGGCTATCGAGTCTTCTTACTTCTTGAGTTTTAACATATCTTGCACGGAGCTTTTTTGAAAATGTAGCTAGCTTTTTAGTTAAAACTATGCAGAAATTTTGTTGCATTGTATAACTTTTTTTTGAATGTTTTTGCGTTGTCAATTATTGGGCACGTAATATTTACGCATATAATTGTTATTTTAACAAGTAGCATTGTCGGCCTGTTACCACAATTTAGGTTTTGTTTCGATGCAAATTTAAAGTAGAGTTGTCTTATTTTGCACGATATTGACTTTTGTTAAAAGAAACACTATCAAAGATGAAGGATTCAACCCAAAGAACCAAGAGCAAAAAATATTTCTGCAGTAGTGATGACTTCTTAGTTTTATTCAGAAAAATTGCATTTCATGGGAAAATTCCTGTCTCTCAAATAATTTCGTTAAGATTTTGTGTCAGGTCAACTTCTGAAAATAAACATTTCACCACGCATCAGTATAACAATTTCAAAAATCAAACAGGTACCTCCTCCAACTTTAGCTAGACCCCTTGATATCATTCATCGAGACACACAAAGATTTGGGTTTAACTAGTTTTTTCAACATTTTTCTTTTTCCGACTTATATTTTTTAATGTTTGTGTTATATCGCAAATGGTGCAAAGCTCCACTTCGGTTCCATGTAATAAAATCTAACCCACGAAGCTTTGTAGCTCATCGTGTCTCTTTACAATACCGGCTTAGGTTTTTTGCACGGAATATTTTTGAAGAATGAACTGTTAATTTTCCGAATGCGTTAGTGCAAATATTTGAGTGAAAGTTATTTCGCGCAAATTTTGTTGCTTTGAAAAACAATTTTTTCGAACATTAATTGTTTGTCAGTTTTTGAGCACGAAATCATTACGCACTGCGAGTAATATTTTAGCAATCAGCAACGACGGCTTTTCAGTGCTATGTAATTTTCGTTTCGACGCGAATTTTAAGTTCGGTTGTCTTCTTGGTAGGTTATTTGAAAAATGATTTTTTTTTCTAGAACAACTGATACAAAATACGAAAATGATGACTGTCTTGTATCGAAGTTGTCTGCTTTATAGTTTTCGACTTAAGCTCTACGGTTCAGTTTAGTTTCTGATTGGGGTATACAACCTTGCCTTCACATATAAACCACTCGTGGACTCTATGTGGGCAGTAGACTTCAGATGATTTTTATCTTAATGGCCGTCGGTTAAACATTGTCAATTTTCTACCTAATATTTTCTTTCCCACAAATTCCAGCTTTTATTATAACATCAATTAGAGTCTGGCTCTACTTTTTTGAACGCTCAAATTCCCGCAAAAAAAAAACAAAAAAATCTCAACTTTGATTTTGAAAAAATCTCAACTTTAGAATAAAAAAAACGATAGATGGCCTTATAGCTCTTTGATTGTCTAAAACATTTTTTTATTGACACTTTTTTGATAAAAAGCACCATATCAGAGAAAGCTGGTTCATTAGGTACAACTTTTGTTTCGCTGGGAAATCTGATAATTGAATTCCATTCTCGTTTTTAATCAAATTAGAAGTCGATCAGGTTTTTGAATAATTTTTACACTTTCGCTGTTCGATAGTTGAGTTTACCTGCCTTTCAACAAAAGAAATAAATTGAATTCTAAAAGAAACCAAAAATTAAACCGCAAAAAAATAAAAGTAAATTTGAGCCTGAATAAATTTTAAGACTTTTCCTGAAAAACGAAAAAAAAATCATCAGGACCTACATAAGAGTCTGAGCTATATTCAACGACTCTTCAAATGTAGTAAACTTAATCGTGAAAAACCTTCAAACTTCTGTTTTCTAGTTGATTTTTCAATTTTACCTTCGCTCGAAGACATCTTCGCTTCTTCTTCAGCGTCATGTTTTTTTTTATGCCATACTTGTTGTATCACAAGTGGTGCGAAGCTCAGCTTTACCTCTGTGTTTTGTTTTACGTAATGTTACCTTCTATCTCATTTAGTGAGTTAATGTTTTTTCTGTCTCTTGCTCAAATAGTTTAATTATCCACGATAACCTAACTTTGAAAGTTTTAAGACGAGAGGTTGTGTACAAGATGGGTGCGATATATGAATGAACAAAAAATACTCAGCAGGGCGATTAACCACAGTCAACCTTGAACGCTGAAGATTTAGTAATTTTCTCAGATCCTCACGGGATTTCTAAAAACTCCAATACCATTAACCATTTACCGACTGTTCATTTATCATTTCCTCGACAAAACAACTTCAATCTATAAGCTTAATCTTATCATACAGATGTTCATCAATATGAGGACGGTTTAGCCAGAAAAATAAAACCCGTCTCGGTGGATAAATTTAAGCATGTCTTAGAAAAAGAGGGCGGGTTTATTTTTGGTCACTGTATTATGGTTCTTCCTGCTAGTAACCTAAATATTATAGATTCTCCCGGGAGGAGGTTTAATAATTCTGGGCTCAACAGAAATCATAAATGAACAGTCAAAAAAATGACAAACGAACAGTCGGTAAATATTTCATGATATTATGATTTTTAGGAATCCCGCGAAGATCAGAGAGACATACTAGATCTTCAGCTTAACAGGCTGGACCGCAGGAAATTGTAGAACATCCTTTTTCACGTTTTGTGTTCAAAAAGTGGAATTTTATCAGAATTAGCTGATTTTTTTTCAAATTACCTTTAACTCTTCTTTATGGGATTCCTTCGTGCTTTGTTCATCTTCATTGACAGAAGATGCTCTGTCGTCGTGATTTGACATTTCCGCCGGTTGTGGTTTCTGGGCTAAGATTTTATTCAAATACGCAATTTCTTCTCGAAGTCTCTCGATCTCGGTGCTACGTAACAGTTCCCGATTTTCAGTACTAGAAAACAAAAAGGACAAGTGTTTTGCTGGTTTGCACTTTGATATTACATTCACAACAGAACTCAAGACATCTAGCAATCAAGATTTTAGACATTTAGACAAAACTACCTAAGATGAAGATATGATTTATGATAGTTTTATATACAGTCCCTGACCCTGACATTTTCTAACGGTGGAACGACTGTATTTGTCCCTTTAGCCAACACATTTTGCTGTAAAATAATGTTGCTTAAGTTAGAACCAGTAGTTGACTTTTTCCCGTTAAAGAATCCTGTTTACAGGATAACTGAATTTGGTAGTCAACTTCAGTAGTAGCGCATTTAAGGGTGGGGGTGGTGACGCTTGTTTTCAGGGGGTCAGCCTTATGACCACCCAAGGGTCCCCCCTTTTGGAGCTATTTAGCAGATTTGGTCAATATAGGTTCTTTGTTCTGATTTTTTAGAGCTCGCCAAATCAATTTGATCGACCTAAAAAATGGAAAGTCTTTAGAAGGGTCTTTTTCTGATCCTCAGCATTAATAATGGTAGTCTTTTAGCAACTAAAACTGTTATTCAAATTGATTCAACAGTGTTTTCTGTTAAAAATTAAAAAAAAGATTTTTTTGAACGGTATCGTTTTTTCGTCTATGGCTAAAATCTGCTTTCCCTGTAAATGGATTGATTTCAAAAATTTTTGAGGTTTAGATTTTCTGCAATTTGCTTGTAGTAATAGTTTGAAAGTTTTGATTAAAGTTTTGAAAATTCTATTTTTTTTTACTTTTGTTTTCTGATTTTCTCTGAATTGAAAAGAAAGCAATGAAACTAGGATGATGCCCAAATTTTCTTGATGGCTTGCAGTTAGCTTTGCCCGAAATGAGGTTCCATAAATAACAATCGATTATAATGGGATTTTCATGGTCTGTCTCCATAAAAATCTAAAATAATCTTTTATAATGGATTTTTAAAATATTATAAAACAAATAAAATAGAAATTGATTTAACCCAATTATAATCGATCATAATTGATTCTAATGGATTATAACAAATTATAAGGGATTATAATAGATTTTTATGAGTAGGAGCCCGGATTTTCCAAAACCTTGAAAAAAATATTCAAAATAAAATACTCAAATATTCAATTGCTAAGTTGTGTTTTACATTCGGCTACGGCAAAAATGGTATCGTTTTAAACTTCTATTTTCAATTTGAATACTTGAATATTTCACACTAATTCTTCTCCTCCACACTTGCCCGTTTCTTACATTTACCGTAAAAATAAGTGAAAAAAACCTACGGGGGGCTATGTGGGGGGGCAGGCAGGTGGGGCGTGGGGCTAATGAGGGGTGGGGGTAGGTGGGGTTAGGGTAAGTGGGCGGGGGCTAGGTGGGGGGTCTAAGTAGGGGGGGCGGGGGGTTAGGTAGGTGGGTGGGGGGACTAGGTGGGGGGAGCTAAGTTGGGGGGAGGGTTAGGTGGGGGGTGGGGTGAGGGTAGGTTGGGTCAAGGTGGGCGGCGGCTAGGTGGGGGGGGGGGGGGGTGCTGGTGGTTGGTGCTAATTTGGGGGGGGGGGGGGGATAGATGGGAGGGTAATAGGGTAGGAGAGGTGAGGCTTTAGATGGGGGGGTGAGGGCAGGCGGGGGTGACGTAGGTGGGGTTGGCGTAGGTGGGGTTGGCGTAGGTGGGGGTGGGTAGGTGGGGGTTGGCTGGTGAGGCTAGGTGCAACAAGTATGGTTTTGCAAAAGGTAAGTAGGTTTAGAAATCGAGATTCAAGAGATTATATTTCATTATAATCCATTATTATGGATTTTAAAAGGATTATAATCAATTTTTTTATCTGTAAAAATAATGGATCATAATCAATTGCGTGGTCTCAAAGTGTAAGTATAATCGATTATAATGCCAACATTTTTGACCACAAAAACTAACTATAAACGATTATTATCCATGGAACCTCACCGCGGGTGGTTTTATTCAAGACAATTTTGGTTTTGTATGTGCACAGCCCACCGGCGACCTTAAACCGGACTGTTTTCTATCGGAACTTTTTTCTCATTTCATAATTTTGGATTTTTTTGTATTGGATGTGTTGTAAAGGACTGTTTTATAAATTGTTCTGATTTCAAATAGAAACAGAAACATGAATTATTTTATTGAGCTCACAAAGTGTGACGCCGCCGCCACCACAAAATAAATATGTTTTTATTCCCTTGCAAAAGGAACGGAAATGCTATTGGAATAATTCCTATAACGTTTTAAGCATTGAGAATTGAAACGACTATTCTCGTTCAATGCGAATAATAATGATTCCTCTCGTAAAATACGAGCATACGAAACATTCTTCTCGTAAAATACGAAAGTACGAATAGAGAATACGAAGTTAAGAAGTAACTTCTCATTTGATACGAAAAGTGGTACGATTTCCCATCTGAGTATAAATAGAAGCTCAAAACTACGGGAATTCGTACCCAATCTCTTCTAACACCAACACCACTCTCTTCAACCACCCCAACCAATCTCTAAAATAATATCTACTCTCAGTAAAAATATCTCTAATCTCACCGTTAAAATAGATATTGAGTCAAAAGGCAACTTGCTGTAAATTCATACTAACTTCTTTTCTAATAAAATATTTCTCAGTGAATTTTAGATTTACTTTCTAAGATAGAAAGTAGAAAGGACCCTTTATTCCTAGCAAGCGTTTTGTCCGACGTATATAGTTTTGCTAGCGTAATAAATTGGTGCGACCAGTGAGGCTCACCTTCTAAAAACTCGCAAAAATTGCTAAAAGTCTCAAAAAGAGATAAAAAAGCAAAGAATCAAATTCTCAAACTGGAGAATTGTTGAAATTTCTCTTACAAATAAAGAAAAGTAATAAATTTCTAAAGCGGAAATTTAAGTTTTCTAAGCAAATTTATAAACTTTTCTATCTTTCTTTTTTTAATTTTAAGCTAAATATAATATGGCTGATACCCCAATATCCCATCCCAACTTGTCTTTAATGACATTTTCGGGAAACGATCCGAACCAAAATGCTACAGCTTTTTGGAATTCAGTTGAAAACAAAATTCTTTTCTCATTAGGTCAAAGACCTAATGATGGCGACGCACGACGCAGCTATGATAGCAGACAACGATCGCTATTCGGATCATTGTTAACTGATAAATCTCTTGAATGGTTCAATGATAATGTAACCAATGCTACCACATGGGCACAACTCAAAGATCTCTTCCTTAACAGATTCACTGACGGACGAGATCAATTCAAACTTAGAATTGATGCTGAAAATGCAGCTCGCCAAGATGGCGAATTAATAAAAAATTACTTCCACAGAATCAAATCTTCTGTAGATAGAGGCTGGCCCAAAAGTATTGATGTAACCATTCATGCTGATGAAGATGCTCAAAATGCTGAGAGAACTATACAAACCAGACAAAGAAGTCAAAAGTATATTGGTTTCTCAATTAAGTGACTAAGACCTCTAGCCCTTAAAAAAAAAGCTCATGAATACATGATAGAGCATCCAAACTCGAATTGGGATCAATTCACAAATCATGTAATCACTAAGGATCTAACATTCATTGTTGCTACTGATCCTGCTAATAAGTCAACAACGGATAAAATGACTTCATTAGAAACACAAATTAAAGAACTAACCAAATTGATCAAGAATCAAGAAGTTAGTGCAATCAATGATCAGAATTCATTTCAACGACGTCGCCCTGATATCAAGGGAAGACCTAACAGTACACGATTTTGCGAATATTGCAGAATGGATGGACATTCTATATCTAGATGTTCAAAAAAGCAAGTTCAGGACGAAGTCAATAAGTTGCGAAGAGCTCACAACAAAAAAATGAACGAAGAGTTTCATTTGAAACTGATTATAAACGAAATCGAAGACCGAATAACTTCCCTAACCAGAATGACCCTAACCCAAGCAACCGGTTTTGGGATAACCAAAACAGAACTACTAGCAATTCAAGCCCTAGCCAAAATAACTATGGCATTCGCCATAATTATAACTACAACGGAAACAATTTCCAAAAGGCTAATGCACAATCGTCTTTCAAAAGGCCCCAAACCTATGATGATAGGTATCTCAGAGAAAACAAATTCAGAGAAAATGAACAAGTTGCTAAACAGTTCTACGACCAAGAAAATAGGCAATTCAAGAGTAACCCTAGAGGTCGACCATATAGCACTGGAAGCTATAATAACAATAACAGTCGAGACTCAACGCGATCTCAATCACCAAATTTTAGATCGAATCAAATACAGTCTGAAACTATCCACTGGGTTGAGGAAGAAGTCAATTACTGTGATGCGATCACTGATTTCTTTCCTTTAAACTATTAAAGTCTCCGAAACCGAGCGATGATAGTAATCCTAAATCAAGGATATATCATTTTGCCACCGGAGACAAAAATAATAATAGTGGACTCGAAATTGAATTCATGATTGACCCAGGATCGACTTGTAGTATCATAAACTACCCAACGTATCAGGAATTGGAAAAATTAGGTCAAAAAATGACAATTTACCGATCCAAAATTAAAGCAAAGACTTATAATGGATCTGATATACGTATGTTTGGCCATACATCTATTCAATCTTGTTTCGACAATGATGGAAAGTATCCATCTAACCACAATGTGTGGATAACTGAAGAAAAAACTGCTAATCTATCAGGAGTAGACTTTTGTCATCTCTTCTTGAAAGCTCTCTACTTTGATATCCCCGCAGTTGAGCTAAAATCAAAAGAAGGTGTAATATCCTACGATTTGATGAACAACGATAAAGAATATCCTAATGTTTCAAAAATTGTCTCAATTAACTTGAAAGAACCATCCAGCACGCTCTACATACTTATACAAACACTTGGCTGAACCAAATTCATACTTCGAAAAAGGGACTACATTCCTGCCTCATAAAATTACAACCAAAACCGAATTGGTTTTCATAAATACAGTTTGTACTCAAATTGAGCAGAGCCTACCTATCCTAATTGAGAATCAGAAAGATC